CCCAACCAAGCAATTGCAGCAATATTCTATAATGCCTGATCGCCCATGTAAATTATTTTTAATTAAAATATAGACATAATATTGTCTTCTAGATATGTGTCTAGATTTTATTTTGCCTCGGATTAGCGTTGTCTCATTACTGTCTCTTAAATTAAATTCAGAAGAATTAATCAAATCAGTACAGACTTCAACTGTGTATCCAACATGGAGACGCACATGTTCTCCATAATATGACCGCGCTTGTCGAATTTGGTACGTCCCCATAGCGAATAAAATTAAATCTTTATATTCGAGCCTGGGAAAGTATATTAAGTTAGTAGAATCTGCTGTAAGACTTAGAAAGTTAGCGGACCGCCGGTTCATATTTAACATTGCAACAATGTGTGCCAGGTTGTTATCAAAACTCATTCTTTCATGAATTATGCTCAACATTTCCAGTGCATATTGATTATCTCGAAGACGAACACCAAACTTATTAAGTAAAGCCACTGCAATCTTGAAATTTTCCATGCTATGTGGAAGGGTCTTATGGAAGTACGGTTGCCTAAACAGCTTATAATCTCGTTTAAAGTAGCCATTGACCACCTCCACAACCCATCTACAAATTGTCACACAGCGGCTTCTATTTGCTTGAGCCGTGGTTAGCTGGTGTTCACCTTCTAATAAAGATTCTGGCATACACGTTTTGTAACCACATTCTTCTAAGAGATTTATACTTTCCCGAAATCCTCTATCTAAAATAAAAGTATCGTTTGGTCTGAAATATAATCTATGAGGACAGTTTTCGTTACGAAATAAACTGTTCATGATTTTAAAGTCAGAAGTGGTCGCCTTATATGGGCCAAGACAATCGACAATAAATCCATCACATGCCACAATCAAAAATGGTTTCATTAAATTCCTATATTTATGCAAGGAATAAGTTTGTTTCCTCTGCACAAAAAAGGAGACAAAACGACACTGAGTAACTATCGCCCTGTTACAGTACCTGTTACAGTGCTTTCTTCAAGATGTCTAAGGTTTTATGCGACCCAAAAATCCCATTTCCTTTGAGGCACCGCGTCATGAAATGCTACGTTTGGTCCACACTGTTGTATGGGTGTGAGACGTGGGTCTTAAGGAAAGAAATATGTAACCGACTGCAAGCCTTCGAGATGTGGTTATTGCGGAGGATGTTTAAAATCCCGTGGACTAGTTTTACATCCAACGTAGAGGTGCTGGAGCGAGCCAAGTGCAGGAGAGAACTGATGGCGGTTATAGCGAAAAGGAAGGTGGCCTTCTTTGGACACATACAAAGGCGCCCGCAACATGAATTCCTGAGGCTTCTGTTAGAAGGAAAAATACCAGGCAGGAGGCCACCAGGTCGACCACGAAGGAAGTGGATAGATGACATTGTGGCCTGGACCGGACTGCGATATCGCCAACTAAAGGAGGCCGCTCATGATCGAGGGGTGTACCGTCTGCTGACCTCCAAACTTCATTTTGAGGATGGCACGCCATGATGATGTTACAGTACTGCCAGTGTTTTCAAAAATATTTGAAAAAGTTATGCATGAGAAACTTACATCTTTCTTCAAGATGAACGGTGTTATTGTGGGGAACCAATTCTGTTTTCAAATAGGAAGATCTACCAGAGATGCAGCTTTCTCTTTGGTCAACGACATCCTTCAGAGTGTCAATGAAAAAATGTACACAACGGTGATGTTTCTTGATATGTCTGAGGCATTTGATTTTGTTTCACATGTGCAGCTTCTGATGAAACTTGAGCATTATGGTGTTAGAGGACCTGCTTTGAATTGGCTAAAGACATACCTAGATGATAGATATCAATGTGTTGATGTGACACAATTAACCGCCAAAGACTGTATTGAAGTAAGGAGATCCAACTACGATTTAAATAAATTTGGAGTTCCCCAGGGCAGTGTGTTGGGCCCATTACTCTTCCTGGTCTACATTAACGACTTGCCAGAAGTTACTCACCATAACACTATACTATTTGCTGATGATGTGTCAGTAATAGTAACTACAAATAAAAATCTGACAATTGCACAACACGAAAATGACATCAATAATACCTTGACATCAATTATAAATTGGCTGAATTACAATAATTTACAAATTAATTTATTAAAAACGCAAATAATTAATTTTAATAATTTTAATGACGATAACATACATGTAAATTACAATGGACTAAGCATCTCGATGGCTAACAATACGACATTTCTTGGCATAGTTATCAATGATAAACTTAACTGGAAGGAACATATAGAAAAAATCGCAAACAGGATAAATGGATTCTCTTTCGCTCTGTACAAACTGGCAAATGTATCTTGCCAAATTACAGCATGTACAGCGTACCTTGCGTATGTCGAATCTGTGTTAAGGTATGGGTTGTTGGTATGGGGTAACGGTACAGACATAGATAAGGTTTTTATAGCACAAAAACGGTGCATTAGGTCCATATGTGATATCGCTCCGGACGTATCTTGTAGGCCATATTTTAAGTACATCCTCGAGGTATGCAAATTCATAAGACAGCACCCGCAAACATTTAAGCAAGCGAAGGATGTCACCAAAAGGGGCAACATTAGAAATCCAAATAGACTTGTGTTGGACATGGTACCTAGGTCGAAAAGAATTCAAAAAAATTGTTACGCGATGTGCATTAAAATCTTCAATAAAATCCCAGAACGATTTAAAGAACTACCATTAAATAAGTTCATTCCAGCCCTGAAAGATTGGTTAATTACAAATACATTTTATTCGGTCAAAGACTTTTTGAATGGTGGAGAGTAGTAGGTATAATTAATAAAAGTGAAATTATAATCAATACACAAACAATGATGATGATAATAATAATAATATATAATAATGTTAAATTAATAATAATAATGTTAAAATAATAATAATAATGTTAAATTAGCATGCTATCTTCATGGCTAAATGGGCCTGTTCGCACTATATTGAACCTTTAATACCACAACATGTACCACCCCATTTATAGCAAATATATAATTTGAATTTGAATTTGAATTTGAATTTCTGCAAAGAATAATTCGCACTTTTGTTCACATAAATATAAGTGCCATCACAAATAACAATTGCATTATTATTGCCATATAAGTCTTTGGGAATCATCAAACCATGGTTTAAGAGCTCCTACCGGCTTAAACTATTTATGCCAAGATATCTTGGGACAAATTCTTGGAACAATATGTCCCGTATTTTATTTATAATAGTTTCCAGTGTCTAGTAAAGTAAAGATTCTCTCGTCTGAGTCACCAGTTCTCATCTTTAATAAAAATGCTGCCAGCTCTTTTTATCTCCAACAATCGTGAGACCTCTTCAAGCAAAACATTAAACTGACTTTTAGAGAATCCCATCTAGTATTCAAAGACTCGGTCATCCATGTTTTCGAGATCTTCAAAGTCCAGGGTGGGATTAAATGCATTCACAAAAGAAAACACATGTTGAATGTGCTGACTATTAAAAGTCTCGATACTATTTGCTGACTCATACAAGGTGTTCCATGTATTGCTTATGACATGATTATAGCATACACGTGCCAGAGGTGGCACGTAGTATTTATGATTGCTTAGAACAAAAGCTCGCAGCTTATCAGTAATGCCATGCAGTTGTAGGTAATGGGAGTAGGTATATCAGAAGGATAACTCCGCACTAATAGATCACAAACACTTCAAGAACAATATATTGTTTAATTAAAACTTGGATATACAATCTTGTAGTAGAAATTTAAGAAAGCACGTCAACCAAACCAACTCAAAGTCCAAAGTCTTGAGAATACATTAAAATTAGCTAAGGCTGAAAAATGTCACCATTCAAAGTAACTAAGCGACATCACAACAATCTCACGCATGCGCGGTAATAGGGATCGGACCCAGTCGGTAATATTCGAAATGAATTATCGACCATCCGGTATCGAAATTACCTTTATATATATAAATAAATAAGTGTAAAATAATGAAAGGTAAATAATATTAAAGTGTGTAAATTGGGTGTGTGAGAATAATGTAAGGTACACTACACAGTGTTGTGATGCGACAATTTGGAAATACACAGTGATTGCCTGAATTTGGACTCCACTGCGTGCCACGATACGGTGCGAACGTGTTCAGTTATCTTTTTGCGTCCCGGTGTCTATTACTTGTGGGATAATTTGTAATTGGTCAACAAGCTAAGTAGCGATTCCTTGTCACTCATCAAAGGTTTTAATGGACTGACTCCGCCCCGTGGGCTGACCCAGGTGAGACAAATAGATAATACATTGTTTATATTGCAAATTGTGGGCGTCCCGATCACCCCCCATCACCCGGTTTCGATACGACGACGCTTGACGCGGCAGTCCAGCGCACTACCACCGAGCTAGCAAGATTAGTTATTGCGCGGCGAAATAGCCGACCGCTACGCACACGCTAACGCGCATCTCGGTGCGCCTACGTCAACTCACTCGCCGTGTCTAAGCTGCACACAACTGCACCGCTGCAGCCGTACACAGCCGCACTGATCGCCTCGCTGCGAGTTTTGTTTACCTGCGTATCTCATTCAGCGTTGTGTAGCTAAAAGTTATAATAGCTAGAGCGTGGAGTTGTGTAGTGGTTCTGTTGATATAATTACTTTGTTGCATATTTTTCTATAACTTATTATCTGAATAAATTATAATGCATCACACGCCACCAAAATCCACAACAAAGGTTTCAACTAAACAGGGAGGCTCTAAGTGCGAACCTGACCCTGCCCCATCAGCTAGTCATAGCAGATCTGACGATAACGTCGCTGTTAGAAGTAAGCGTCAGCGAACTGCAGATTCGCCCAGTAGCTCCACCATAAAACCATGTACATGTAATGATTTAAATATTGAGCTATTACAAATGATAAATTCCAAGAAAGAAAGAAGAAAGTGGATCAAGATGCTATGTTGTCGTCATTAGTCAGAGATGTGACTGACAAACCCGCGTTCAAAGACATCAATAGATTCATTAAATGCATAAAAAATACGCTTGCCCTCTCATTTTTAAGTTAGGGGAGGGTAGTTTTTTTAAAACCTGATCCCAGGTGATGAAAGAAATATTGTCATCGTTAATTCTGAACTTTTTTCCAGTTTCATCACAGATTTTACAAAATATAACTTTAAGTTCATCATCTTCTTCAACACCTGTGCACATCGCAATATAACGATATTCTGTTTTTGTATCTTGAAGTTTAACCAGCACAAAGTCCCCGTTGCAGAATGTTTTCTTTCCAGATGTTGAGGGTTTTGAATCATCTTTGTGCAGTTTGGTTTTAATACTGGAAGGTACAGAATGCTGTAATGTTTCTTGAGGCTTCCTCCTGTGTTCTTGAGATGTGAAATTGATTAGTGGTTTATCTTCTGAATCGCTAGCTTCGTATATATCATCAACACGTAGAGGAAATTTACGATGTGTTTGTGGATAATCCAAAGTACCCAATTAAAAATGACGACATAGCTCTGAGTCACAGAAGCAGCTTGTGGAGGAACGGGTGTCATGTCCCTCCAACACAAATGGAGGATCCTCCGACCAGGCGAGGTGATCATGCCTGGCGGGCCGAGGCCCAACCGTTGATGTTGGGAAGTTGTATATATGATAATCGGCAAGGGAATTCTATATATCGCGATATAGGATTAGCAATTCTTATTTTAGTAGTTACTCCGTAGTTCGGTGTGTCTTCGTTAGATGGCGCTGTAGTATGTTTATGTGGGAGTCGCCACATCACTCTCCTTCAAGACCGGAGGTCGATATATGATGAGTCTGCTGTCTATGCGCTGTTGTGGAGCGTGCCAGTGCCAGAAGTGAGTAGTTCCAGTGAGTCGGAACTGAGTGAAGCTAGTTCCAGTGGGTCGGAACTGAGTGCCGCTAGCCCCAGTGAGTCGGGGCTGAAGTCCACTGATTCCAGTGAGTCGGGATGGCGTGCGGTGCGCGGTGCTGCGGTGAGGTCCTCAGTGAGTCTGGCGGTTGCTGCGTAGTGGCTGGCTGCTGCGTAGACGGGAGAGAAAATGCTCTTCTTACGTGGACCGTAGGTGCGGTGTGCTGTGCATAGACGCTGGTGAGGCCGTAGAGGTAACCAGGCTGGAGCGGTCGCTACCTGCGTGTGGTATCCCTGTAGAGGCCGAGGTTGCTGGCTGGCTGAGACTTGATTACTGCTCATTGCTGTGGGAGTGTACACGATGGTGCTGCTGATGATCTGCTCCTTCTGAAGGCTGCTTCCAATCACGTCGGGGTCACCACTGTGGAGGAACGGGTGTCATGTCCCTCCAACACAAAGGGAGGATCCTCCGACCAGGCGAGGTGATCATGCCTGGCGGGCCGAGGCCCAACGGTTGATGTTGGGAAGTTGTATATATGCTAATCGGCGAGGGAATTCTTTATATCGCGATATAGGATTAGCAATTCTTATTTTTGTAGTTACTCCGTAGTTCGGTGTGTCTTCATTAGATGGCGCTGTTGTCTGTTTATGTGGGAGTCGCCACAAGCTCACACTTTTCAATTTCAGGCAATTAGGTATAAGTACGCAACCGGTAACTTGGTGAACCTTTAGTATGCCTGAAAAGTCTTTTTACCTTCAGTAGAACCTAATTTTGCTGCTTTTTCAGATATGTCTGCATCATCTACGGTGAAAATTTTAATATTCGGGCAGGTTTTCTCAAGAGCTTTAGCTAAGTCATCTATTGATGAAATATCGGTGCCACTCGCAATTAATCTATCTGCAGTTCTCTTGCAAGTAGCACCCACTCCATCAGGAGCTCCCTTACCGTGACCTGCTTCATGAAAATTCCATGTGAAATTTTGAAGGTTAGGGTAGAAATCTTTCAGCATTGTTGCCAAAACCTTGAACATCATTTTATTACGATATTGGGTGACTGGCCCATCGCTCAAGAAATGTAAACTCGTAACAGTAGCCGGCAGACAGTCAAGTATGGGCTGTAAATGCCCCCAAATTTCAGGAGGTGAGAGTAATAAATTTTGTGACAAAGTGCAGTAACATTGGCTTTTTAACTCTTGGACGACATCTTTAGTATAGACTACAACAGTGTGCATACTTATTTGCTGTCTCGATCCTCCGAAATGAAAGGATTGTACTTCCTCAGCGTATTTTGTTAGGTGATTTTCACTAAAATCTACGTGTATAATTGCTTCTGACTCAGTAAGACTCTTTTTTTGATTTTATAGTTCGATGTTGATGCACTAAGTTCGTGATTCAAAAACTTTTCCATATTTGATTCCAAATCCAAAATCAAGTCCCTTGGTAGAATCTGTAGTGAGCTTTTAACGCATTTCGTTACAGTTCGTGGTTTTTGAGTTTTTAAATCCACAATATCTTGGCGTACACTTTGCCACTTGCTGTAAAATAGTGGAATGGAGTTAGCGAATTCTTTATAACGTAGACCTTTGTTTAAACACGTCTTGCACTCGCGTGATAAACATTTTTCGTTGAACAGATTCAACGAAAAATGCTTCTAAACCAAGTTTGCTGCAACAGATTGCAGCAAACTTGGTTTTCTTTAGTCCATAAATACTTTTGTTTAATTTAACAACACTTACTTTGTCATCACATCCAGGTGGTAGTCTCATATACACATCTTCCTGTATATCTCCATACAGGAAAGCACTCCGTACATCCATGTGATGGACTGGTAATTTCACTTTACTAGCCAAAGCCATTAAAATCCTGAAAGTAGAAATTTTATCTACTGGTGCATACACATCATAAACTTCAAATATGTCTTCCTGTTGAAAACCTCTGGCAACCAAACGTGCCTTGTACTGGGTTATGTTACCTTCACTGTCTTGTTTTATTTTATAGACCCATTTGCTATCTATTACTCTCTTGTCTTTAGGTACTTTTATTTCACTATTCCAGGTATCATTTTCTTTTAGAACTTCCAATTCCTTTTTCATGGCTTCTTTCCACTTCTCACTACTCTTACTGTTAATAGCTTCATTATAAGTTTTAGGTTCATTTAAAATACACATAAAGCTACTTTCTGTGTCATAATCTTGTAACCACATAGGTTTTCTTTTTACTCTCTTTTCTCGTAAATCTTTCTTCACTTCTTCTTTAGTTTCTTCTGTATCACTAGATATATCTGTATTATATTCTTTTTCTTCATCATTAACATTTTCTTTTATTTCTTCTTCAAAAGTGTCACTTAGTATTTCACTGAACATTTCTTCCCTTTTAGGTGACTCAAAAATAACATCTCTCTTTGTGTCTATTGTGGCTGAATCAGGGAAATAAATTCTAAAACCTTTTACATTTTCATCATAGCCGACAAAACAACCCTTTTTGCTTTTAGAGTCCCACTTTCTTCTTAGTTTTTTTTTTTGTATATGTACATACACATTTTGACCAAACACTTTTAAATTTTGTAAATTTGTATAAGCCTTGTTAAACCATAATTCAAAAGGTGACTTGCCTTTCTCATGACTGTGTCCTATTCTGTTAAGAGTATAGACAGCAGTGTTGACTGCTTCAGCCCACAACTCTTTGGGTAATTTTGCACTTATTATCATAGCTCGAGCTGCCACTGTCCTATTGTCTCTTTCTATTTTACTATTTTGTTCCGGTGTGTATGCTGTAGATGTCTGGTGCCTTATGCCTTTTTCCTTAAATAACTATTTAACCGTTGCATTAATAAATTCTCTTCCATTATCAGTTCTTACAACTTTTACCTTCTCATCTGTATCTTGTTCAGCCAAATTTATAAACTCTTTAATCTTGTCAGGGACTTCACTCTTTTGTTTTAAGAAATATACAAATCCAACTATTACTGACTGGTGGGATTCATACTCTTCAAAATCACTAAATAAGCTTCTCTGAAAACACATATATTCGCTTGCACCGGTGTCTACCAACCAGCCTTGGGTAGTTTCTTTGTTCTTCATAATTGTTGTGAATACATTACTCCTTTTGTTGGACTCAGTACCTTTACTAACATCTCTGCCTTTCTCTTTATTTAGCCGTAGTCTGCAAATTTTAATAGAATGACCACATTTTTTACAATAAAAACATTGCAACTTAGCACAAAATCCCTTTTATAATGGCCCATCTTGCCACAACCAAAACACTTTATCTCGTTAACTTTCTTAATAGTTGTAGCCAGTGCTACACACTCTATATCTGATTTGGTTTCACTAGTGTTTTTTTTTTATTGGGACTAATCCCACCCACACGCCCACCACTGTAACTCCTGTACACCAGGATCCACAGCAGTGACCCACGAACACACCGAGTTATGACACTCGGGAAGTCCCAGGAAGAAATTAAACTGTCTTGGAACCCGCAACGAAATTAATCAGAAGAAAATTGGAGGAGTTGGAAATACAGTAAATTCACTTCCCTCCTTAGCAAAGCGGGAGACATAATGAAGTAAAATAGGCATACACCCTTTTAAACAGGGAAGCACCACGGCCACAAAATTTTACGGGTCCTACATGAGCTATATTTGATTTCTATAATATGTATGGCAGAATCGCCTAAACGCACGGAAATTCACCCTAGTTGACACAAGATCCCCATAGTATACCGCCCCAGATGTCACCTGCAAGCTATTTAGCATTATATTACGTTCATTATACCAAAGACTACATTCCCAGAGGATATGATGAGCAGATTGTTCATTATGAGAGTTAGGTGTTGAGCATTGACACAATGGTGACTCGACTAATTTAAATGAATACAACTTGCTCTTAAAGTTACCATGACCCGTAAGAAATTGAGCGACACAGTGATCCACCTCAAGCCTTGTCCTCGACAACCGTTCGCGAACAGATGGAAAAAATTGGTAAAGATGGCGCCCCTTGGATGATTCGTCCCAGCGTTGCTGCCATTCGTCTATGAGGTCATTATAGACATCGGACTGCTGTTGAAGCAATCTTGTGATTTTACCGCGATCCCGCGCGCCCAAAAAATCGCATTCCATGTTTTGTCTTGAATAGTACATGGCTGCACGTCTCTGCACCTCGAGATCGACCGGAAGCACACCCGCCAACACCGGCAAAGCCTCAGTGCTAACCGTCCTATATGCCTTGCACAAAAATATCAGTGCAAGTCGTTGGCCTTGTAACAGTTTGCGACGGACAGCGCCTACGGTCGCCCTATCGGCCCATACAGGTGCACCATAGCACATAGAACCTAAATAAGTAGCTCCGTATATGATCTTTAATGTATTAAATGATAGACCCCATGTCGTAGTTGATATCCTTGTCAATGCACAGAAACTCTTTTTAGACTTTTCATTATCTATTTTAATATGTTCGATAAATTAAAAGTTTCTTTCTAAAACTAATCCTAGATAACACACTGTGGTTTTATTTTTTAAAGTAACATTGTCAAATCTAATGCTCGGCGGTGATTTGAGGTTACCTTTTAAAAGTAGCTGGAAGGTTTTGTTGGGTGCAAAAGTTAAGCCATTACGTTCACCCCATTGAGATATCAAGTTCAAACATCTATTGGCTAATCTCTTAAGCCCCGCCCTAGTATCAGATTCCACCAGTAATAAGCCGTCATCAGCATACGCGTTCAGAGTACATCCGGATGGTATTGGTATCGCAAGAAAATCGTCGAAGCCGATATTCCACAAGTATGGACCTAGCACCGATCCCTGAGGACATCCCATTGTAAGCGCCTTCGACACAGAATGATGACCAAGTCTTAGTTTAGTTGTACCTTGTGAAAAGTACGAAGAGATAAGGGAATAAATATTTTTAAAGCACCCCCGTAATTTTAATTTCAGCAACAGCATGGGCCACCATGCGTTGTCGAAGGCGCCAGATATATCTAAGAAAATAGCCAGCACGTATTGAAATTTTGTCCCTGTGACAAACTTTCTAACCGATATAACAGCGTCAGTTGTTGATTTACCCAACGTAAATCCAAATTGTCTATCATGAAATTTGACTCCACCTGGCAGAAGCCGGGGCACTACAAGACGTTCTAAAAGCTTTCCTAACGATGGTAACAATGTAATAGGTCGGTAGGATTTAGGATCATCCGGTGGCTTGTCGCCACTTTTTGGTATTATACGAATATTACCGCACCGCCATATACGAGGAAATATTCCTTCAGCAATGCAACGTTTAAAGACAGTGAAAATCGTGTCACCCGAAAGTTTACAAGCTTCTTTTATCATTTTGTTAGATATTTTATCATCGCCCGAAGCCTTGTTTAGCGGCAAGGATCTAATGATACCGAGAAATTTTCTACGAGCTTTCCGGTAGCTTCTACGTAGTTCGGTTAATCTATCATTCCACCAATCACATCTACGAGTGGTAGTGATAGATCCGCGACCAATAGTTACATCAGCGCAGTATGTAAAAGTTTCTGATAGTATTTCTGCGCTTTCCTCAGCTGATAAACTACTGCGACTGAAGTGTTAAACTTGACAAATGTTAAACTTGAGCGGGAATCGAACCCGCGACCTTTGGAATAGCAGTCCGTTACACAAACCACTACGCCATCCGATCGTCAAGGATGGGTGGGTGCAGTGAGGAGGAAAACTGACAATGAATACTCCGTTCTCACGAGCCTTGTGTTCCGTGTCCATCTAGCAAGAGAAGCACAGGGTCATTCTTAGTAGGTTTGACGTTTGCAATAAAGTGACTTAGCCAGTGAACAAATATATCACTTTGTATCCATCCACTGGGATGGCATATTGCTATAGTTCCAGGAGGTGCCCCATCTAACAATTCAGCCTTCATACGAACTCTTGGAAAAATTAGCAGCTGATGCACACAAAACTGCGGTAGTCAATTGGCCCCTTTTCAGCAGAAGAAATAAGGCCTACTTGTTTCTTGCCTTTTAACGAAAGCACTTTCGACTTTTTTTTGGGCACAGTCGTGATCCCAGTTTCGTCAGCATTTAAGATCTTCGTTGGCCCAAATTTGTATTTGTCTTGTAAGTCAACCAACAGTGAGAACAATTTTGAAACATTTACTTTGTTGAAACCAATGGGTTCCGTTGAGCGTGTAATGACACGCTCAACGGAAGTAGGCTCTGGTAGGCGCAACGATAACTCTGGATGACGAAAATCGAAAATCCATAAAGCCAATCCATTCCAGCTACTTCATTGTTTTTGTTAAATTTGTCGGCTATACCGTATTTGAAAAGCAAGATGTCGAAAATCCCTGTATGTTAGTCCGAATAATTGAGCTTCAAGATCCTTCATGTGCTGGCACATTAAACTTTCTTGTTCGGCTGTAAAAACTGTCTTAAGGGGTAACACCACTATAACAGCCTTAAAAAAACGTGTTTTTCGTCTTTTTTTTGGGTGGAAGGAAAGGTAATAAAATTATAATATTTTAGGAAGTTATTTAGCGTATATTTAAGTAACAAAATAGAAAATTATTATAATTTTTCTTTTTAAATGACGGCACTACAGCCATTTTCGCGCGGCACGGCAATTTGAGGCGCTCTGCGACACGCAGTGTAGTTAATTGTGTGTAATAGTGTAATTTGGATCTAGAAAAAAAAACACTTATTGTAAATACTAAAACAACTACAGTACGTCGGGTGCTAAGCCAAGATTTCTTTCTCCCTTTCTTGTAATTGAGTGATAGCATATGTGTAATTAATATGATACATACATTGGCCGCACGAAATTATGTAAAATAGTGCTTATCTGTGAAGACCTTTAATTTGCTAAATGTTTTATATTATTGTCACTATCTCAATGTTAAAGCTGTTGGTTTTCCTTCAAATAAATAAATAAATAAATAATAAATAAATGCTTATAGCTAGAGAAATACGTAGGGGATTTTAAAAATAATGATTTTTGTGTGATTGGCGAGTATTTGAATAAAATCGTAAAATTTTTAATAAAAAAAAGATTTAATTAACTTATCAAAAATCCCCTACGTATTTCTCTTCAAAGTCTTATTTTCAAGATATTGTAACAAATTCGAATGAAAAGACCGAAAATTGTTGGAGTTATGCTGCGTACCGTTTTCAGACCATCGTTCAAATTTCACACAGCAATATCAGTCGCAATATTCAAGACTTTTTTGCCGCTTGAATCAGATTTCGGAGCCAAATTCCAAACAGTAGCATTTAAACTTTCGTTGCTATTTTGCGTGTAGCCTCCTAAGCAACGGTTTAGCAACTCGTCTCGGCTCAACTCTTCATAAATCGGTTTGATGGCTTCAAAAACTTCCTCAGGAAGCGGCGGCTTATGATGGAAGATGTCCAAGGAATTCTCTGCTTATTTTGTCGTACCTTTCTTGCCCTGATACACTTTTGCATTACTCATTGTAACTTATAAGCACTCTGAGATTACAAATAAACTGTTAAAAATCAGCAATACACACAAAAATCTTGATTTCATGCGACGAAATTATGTCCTGTTTTGTACACGTTTTGACACGTACTACACTAACGTACTATTGATTAGAAATGCTACTACCTGACATAATGACATCTGTTAGTGTATTTGAGAAGATAGAAATCAAAGGGTAGGACATTAGGCTGTACTTTCACAGCAGGTATTCATCTGACGCACGTGTCGTTTCGGAGCAGTCCGACGCGCTTGGGGAAGAGCTCGAAATTACAAAAAAAAATACTTTCGAGGTATGAAATATTTTTCCCCATATTCTAAAAGGTTCAAACTATTTTTAAGCCTAAAAAAAAACGTTTTTTTTTTTTTATTTACAGTGGTGTTCCCCCTTAAAGCAACCTAAGCCTTTTTTTTGAAGCATCATCGACATTGTTATGCTGTCGGAATTTTTTTACTCTATCTTCCAGGGTCGATTGTGGTATTGAAAATGTTCGAGAAGCGACGCGACCCATTACAACTTTGCCGATATGAAAAAGCTGCCTCGTGTCGCGGAAACAATTTCCCAATTTTATTTGGGGTCGGCGCAGTATGTATGATTTTTCCATTCTACTCTTTCATGCGTCATCTCACTGTATTCTAGCCATATCCTCCCTGACGCAGTCCATCCACCTCTTCTTCGGTCTGCCTCTTCTCTTGTACCCTTCAACTCTCATACCTAAAACTTTCTTCGCCACATTTTCCTCATCCCTCCACATTATCGTTTTCAAAAGTTTTTAATACTATTATTCCTAATTTTAATAGTAACTTATAAATTTCAAATTGCAAACTGTTTGAAACAACCAAAAACTTTATAAATAACAATAAACAAACAAAATTTTTAATAAAAAAATTAAATAAAACAGCCACTTTAGACTCTAAAAAATAATTGTGTTTACTCTATTTTACCTAATTGCTTAACAACCCGTTTAGAATCAGTCTTATTTAAAAAGTATAATTATATCAAAACCTTAATAATACTCAAAATTATCACATATTTTGAAACTCACAACTGGTACATAAAAATCCAACAAAATTATAATCAACAAAATCTTCAAAGTTGTTTAATGCTAATCTTAATAAAAATGTTAAGAGATCTAATAAAAGAAAGAAGCTTAATAAATGTAATAAACACATTACAGTTATCAAATCACAGTTAAAGTTAACTAATAATCGGGTAACTTTGTTTGGTACAACATTATTATTACATTAGTTCAATACATTTTTTATACGCTACGCCAGAGGTCGTGGGTTCGATTCCCACCCAGGACAAATAATTGTGTGATGAGCACGATCGCTTGTTCTGTGTCTGGGTGTAATTTATCTATAATATGTATGTATTTAGAAATATATAAGTATGTTTATCAGCGGTCTGGTTGCCATAGTACAGGCTCTGCCTAGTTTGGGATCAGACAGCCGTGTGTGAGATGTGTGAAACTAACTATTATATGAGGACAAGATGCTTGATTATGGCATGCGTGAGGTAGAGTATCATAATAAGAATGGTAATTTTCGTGAATTAAAGATTTCAGATCTTGTAAATCTTGAAATTTGCGAATATCAATATTTTTCTTCGAATTGTTGAGTGCAGGAAGTGTAATGTTTGGATTTGGTAATCTAGTTTTTCGGGGCAAAAGTGTCCAATCATCATCGTACAAAATTTTATATTCAATGGTGCCATTAGGATTATATTTTAAGCAACGAATGTCATTTACGATGCTATCACCAGCCCTGTTTCCAGGTCGCATGCTTGAGTAGTATTGAATTTTTGAATAATCTTTGAAAAAGTTGTAGTTGAGACTGTGTACTTCGTATGGCCCTGGATTTTTTCGAGCTGATTCAATTATGCTGACGTACACAGCAGGAATGTAAATAGAATATTTTTCTGTATTTTTCTCTCAATCACACTGTGCTCTGAATCCACCTCCATGAAAGTATGCCCATGTTCCAATTACTTGTGCTCAATAACTATTCCAAGTGTAACAGCACAGTGCAAAATTGCATTCGCAACTACTTGGTTTCGATTTTGATAGCAACAGCCATCGGATCATAACACTATCTTAGTCAAATTGATTTCGGATCTTTGAAATTCTGTATTTATTAGGTTAGTTAGCCCACCATTGACTTCATCCCACAAGTAGCATCTACCATGTCGCGTCACAAGATCGTATGAAGTAAAATTATGAAGTTTTAGTTTGATCTTGTAATATGCTTTGGATACATTTAGTTTTTGTGCCAACAACACTGCTTGAACATCCACACAATATACTTTCATCGTATTATCCAATTCCGCAAGTCTTTTATCATTTGATTTTTCTTGTCTGCCTCAAAATGTGTGAATCGTATGAACTCTGATCCACTCTGGATTGAGTAAATGCAAAACATGTATCACACTGATCTTTACGGTTTTGAAACAAAGTCATATTTCTTTTCTTTAATTCTTGTGAAAAGTGGGTCCATAAGAAGTGTTTAATATTGTCTTCAGCGGCTTGTTTTTGGTAAAAACTGTAAAGTTCTGTCAGGGTTGACCAATTTGGTTCCAGATAAGTCCTTGTAGAATTAGCGCGACAGTAGTGCGATTCCATTTTTGGCAAAGCATCTAGGAAAGATTCAAAATGATGTTGACGTTCAGTCTGAGTTTGTAATGGACGTGGTTCCGCTAGGTTAGGAATTCCACTTTGGTTACTCAACGCCCACATTCTTACGCTCTTTTCACCTAAATCAAACGTGTTTAGAAACATTTATTTGCAGACAAAAAATTTTGTCTCATCAACCCGTAAGTAATAATTCAAAGTAATATTTCTATGGGAGCTGTCATTATTTGGCCTTCTAGATGTTGGTGGCACTTTGGTAACTAAACTTGCTATATAAACCATTGTTCCCAATTAAAACTTTTCCAAAAGTTGCTGTGAAGATGTTTTCTTGCTTCTTCTGTTAACTTCCTACAATCAAATTTGGCGGATTTGCAGTTACAAGCATCCTTCATTTCTCTACCAGGTCTTAAATTTGTTTGTGTCCATTTACCTGCTTGCTTTTTTAACCCTTTGTATGTTTTGCCTTGCATTCGTCTCAACTTTTGTCGATTTCTGTCCCATTGTGTCTGTCTTCTGATACCACGTCTTTTTTTTGTTATAGAAATGTTTTCAGAATTACGAGTCACAATCTGTGGAAGATTCCTCTAGATCCGGTTCATAGTCACAATCTTGTTCATTATCACTACAATTAAATTCTAAAGTTTCGTTTAGGTCGTGATTCCGAAATTCCCCAGTCTTTTCGTGTAGAAAAATAGATGTCGAAATTAAAGGAGATGGGCTGGAACAAGCTGCGGTTTGAATATTTCCCCCCATAGGCTCATCAAATTCGAAGCAAGATTCTAGTGTCATTGTAGGCCCTTTTGAGTTGGATGAGGTGACTATGTTATTCAGAACTGGGTGTATTGTTTCATCTAAAAAACGTGGATTTAAAGTAGATGGACTGGAACAAGGTGATTTCTCGATAACAGCTATGGTCTCATGAACTACATTTTTCATTGTTTCATCTTCATTAAAATCTTGTTCTTGGGGTGGTAGGGTGGCTATTGCAATAGATGTGGTAGGAGTACAAGGCATAACGAAATCAGATTCAAAGTCACGTGCAGTAATTGTATGATTGATCATTTCTGTACTGGAAAAAGGTAATTTTTGTATAATATTTACTTCCTGTGTACAAGCAAACATCGTTTCATCTTGATCATATAAATCGACTTCAACATCAAGATTACCTTGCAGCATATTGTTATCACTGATACCTGATAAATTGAGTGCTCTTTGGAGTAGATCTCTTCCTCTGCTATGTCTCTTCATTGTAGTGAGAATGCTGACCTGTGAATGAAATTACTTTTTAAATGCTACCTCAAAGCAGGTTACTGGACAAACAAAACTTATTTACAACAAGCTAACTAATCTTATTAATCCTAATGCCTGCGAATTCATAGGACTTTTAAATTATCATACTTATGTTTACTCTAAAAAAAAAAATAAGTAAAAAAAAATTATTTATAAATAAATAGTGGTTGTATACTGGGCAACAGGGGCCAGTAAACCATTTTCATAATTGTTAATACGTAATTATAAATTTGCAATAAACACAAGGGTTAATAAGATGTACCAATGATTATGATGTAAAGTATTTAAATTACTCTTATGGACAAAAATGGCTTAATATAGGTCATTATAGGAAACAATAAAATTAAAAATCAAAAACTATGTGTGGAAAAAAACATACGCCTTATTGACAATTCGTCATTCGTATACGACTTCATTGAAACATATATTTAAAACACAACATAAAAGTAATTACTACTGTCTAACATACTATCCCATATAGTACTTTAATCATTTAACAGTTATTCAAAACGAATGCACGGAACAGCTGATCGTTTGAGGTTGTACAACTGTTCGGTATTATCGTGTGTCGTATAAATCACTGTAATTCTTATGTTTTACGGATATAAGTAACTAATATTAACTTACCTCGTTATTGTGAAGAAAAACACCTTCTTTTCCTCTTGTTTTAAGCACTGTTTAATGCATTCTTAAAATTTAACGGTTACTGCGTCAAAACGTTTTTTTTGCTCCTAAAGAATTGTAAATAAGTGAGTTAAAAGTGCATAGTTGAGTGTAATTTCTACAACACAGTTACAATAAGTCATCCTGAGTACAGAATATTGAAAATAAGGCAATAATTAACAAACAGAAGTAATAAATACACAATTAAACAAAAGTTCATTAAAAGATTGCAAGTGAATCAGTGACTAAGAGGTTTCATCGGCCGGAACGCGTAAGCGACACCCACTGCACGGCGCTTACGACCTTTTGGTCGCGATACCTCACAGCGGCTAAGTTGACTCCTTGGGTATTTTTTGAGCTTTATTTATTTACTGTGTGTACAAAATCATTTTAAAAACAACTTTATACTCGAGTTTCTATCTCCTACCCGAGCACACACTATTGTTACACGGGTCAGACAACGGAGTTTAAGCGTGTCTCAAAGCTGTCAGTGATCTAATTACACTGTTTTTATCTACCAAAATGGTTCACTGTGCCAGATGTGGCGAGGAAGCTACTGATGCAGTTCGGTGTAGTACCTGTGGGCAACATTATGACTATCCATGTTCGGGGATCTCTGAGATTGGTTATCGTAAATTAGGTGCTGAGAGGCAAGCATCATGGAGGTGTCCGAACTGCAAGTCAACACCGGCTACTTCTGGCCCGGACATGGGATCCCCCAAACATATATCTCTCAGTCTTATTATGCAGGAGATTTCAAATATTAAATTAACACTCAATCCACTGCTAGACGTCCTAGCTGGTATAAACGACATCAAAAGTGATATCAGTCTTCTTAAAACCTCGGTAGAAGACTTTTCTACAAAATTCAAGGACCTGGACGACAGGGTTCGGGCTGTCGAGGGGACAAAGGATGAGGTGTTAGAGATGAAATCGCGCCTAGAGGGCATCGAGAATAGCCTGAATGAGAGAGATCAGTGGATGCGACTAAACAATGTCGAGATCAAGGGCGTACCGCTGAGAGACCGTGAAAATCTTGTCGACGTCGTAAGCAGGATTGCTTCGAGGATTCAGTACCCTATCACGAAGCACAATATAAACTTTGTGGTAAGGGTGCCATCCAGTGAGGGCAGAGTGAAACCGATTATCGTGTCATTTCTAAACCGATATTTAAAGGAGGACTTTGTAGCTGCTGCGCGAGCCTGTAAGAACCTCTGTGCGGCTGACATTAACCTCGAGGGAACTAGCCGTATATATATAAACGACCATTTAACTGTCCAAAATAAATTACTACTAAATAAGGCTAAGAAACTGGCTAAAGAATACGACTTTGAATTCATTTGGGTAAAAAACTGTAAAATCTTTGCGAGAAAAAACCAAATGTCAAAGTCATTTGTGATAAAAAACGACAAAGATCTGTCCAAAATTCATTAATTTTAATTTATCCTATTTACTTTTTCATATTTTCATTAGTGTTACATATTATGTCCTTGCTATGTCATTTATCTTATTCTTACACGAAAGCTATGAATGTCGGTTGTTGTTTGCTTGTACTGGGCCGAGGAACTCTAGTCCTCGAACCAATACTTTGTTTGTTGAATCATACCACTGTCTCACTAGTAACTTTTGGATTGTATTATTCATTTACTATTTTCTACTCCTCGCAGATCGTTATTCAAGTGTGGCTCGTCAGTGACTTTATTGTTATACCCACTTACTTAGTTTCATATTTTATTACTCCCTCACATATTAATTATAACAGTTTATTGTTATTACTTCTAATTACATATTTGAACCATATACATTTCGAACCCAGTGGCCTGTTTCTCTTGCGTTGTTCACGTGATTCTACTCAACCGGCGCGCGCCTTTCATTCTAATTCTTTAATCATCTATTTAAATTCACACCTAAGTATTGTTGTAGCGATTATCAATGTCTAACCTTAATTTTTACTACCAAAACTGTCGAGGGCTCCGTACTAAGACATCAATATTCTTTCGTAACCTTTGTATGAACAACTATGACATTATTTTGCTGACTGAGACCTGGTTGGTCGATAGTGTGCGTGATTGTGAGCTGTTTGATCATCGGTACATAGTATTTCGTCGCGACCGTGACTACGCTCTTACAGATCAATCCAAGGGGGGTGGAGTGCTGGTTGCTGTCCTACGACGATTGCTTGTCGAACATAACCCAGGTTGGCGGTCAAGCGCTGAGGATATCTGGGTAACGCTGAAAATTCGCAATGCACACAAAAACACAATTACTATTCATGTAGGTACCGTATATCTCTGTCAACAAAACAGGGGTAACTCCTTTATTGTACAGCTTAACAACTTTACAAGTTCGCTCAAAAATCTAATTGAACTGAATACTTCTGATTACTTCTTGGTACTGGGAGACTTTAATATGAGTGATATTTCCTGGGTTTTACATTATGACGGGCTACAAGCGTCTCTTACAAATAACATACACCACAATAACTTTATTAGTACCCTAAGAGAATGTGGTCTTGTTCAATACAACTCACACAAAAATCATGTTGGTGGAATATTGGATTTAGTTTTGTGTAATGATGTTGTCTCCGTTTCAACTTGTCCGGACCCACTAGTTAAAGAAGACCCGTACCACAGGAGCCTGATTATCAGACCGGTATTTTTCAAACCTGAATTACTTAAAAGCTGTCCCCGTAACATATTTTCATACCACCGCGCTGACTATGACAGCATTCGCAAGGAGCTCTCCGATGTCGACTGGCTGACTGTACTTGGTGCTGACCGTATTGACGATGCAGTGAACAGTTTTTATGGAATTTTGTACCACCTTAGAAATAAATATGTACCAAAAGGTACAACTAAAAATACAAATTACCCACCGTGGTACAACTCTGCTCTTATTAAGTGTATAAAAGAAAAATTTAAATATTTTAAAAAAATTAAAAATTATAACAACCGATCTGATTTACACACCTTCAACCTGCTTCGAACTAGAGTGAAAAAACTGGAGGAGATTTGTTACAAGAATTACATTACGAAAATTGAGGATTCCATCACTAAAAACCCTAAGCTTTTTTGGTCACATGTAAAGAGCAAACGAGGTAATAGTAATTATCCCTCGATGATGACCTACGCTGACTGCTCTAGTGACAATGGAGCAGGTATTAGCGAGCTATTCTCGGAATACTTCTCTTCGAATTTCCTCTCTAATGACAACGCTACTACTTGCTCGCTAATTAGTGTTCCACTAAATGTTGGTCAAGCCTGTGACATCTCCACGGTTGAGGTTAAAACTGAACAAGTCCTAAAGCTCCTAAAAGGCCTTGATGTTTCTAAGGCGGCTGGCCCGGATACTGTACCGGCAACTTTTTTGATATCGTGTGCCAATGAACTGTCTACTCCCATTACTCTGCTCTTTCGGCGTTCGCTGAATGAGGGTGTCATGCCTTCCACATGGAAGTCTGCACTTGTCACACCTATACATAAAAAAGGATCGAAGAGCGAAATTGTTAACTATAGGCCCATCTCTAAATTATGTCTAATAGCAAAACTACTGGAGCGTATTGTTTTCAGTCAACTATATGAGGCAATTAAATCTGTGTTTATTCCTGAACAGCATGGTTTCTTAAAGGGTAAGTCAACTGCTACCAATCTGGTGGTATTTAATGAGTACTTAACCAGCAACATGGACAGTGGCAATCAAGTTGATGCGATCTATACTGACTATAGTAAGGCTTTTGATCGTATAGACCATAAACTCCTACGGACCAAACTTCTAGATCTTGGTATCCATGGTAATCTATATAACTGGTTATCTTCTTATCTTCTGAACAGGTCTCAGGCAGTAGTGCTAAATGGTTACACTTCATCATGGGTTAATATACCGTCTGGAGTTCCTCAAGGTTCTCTGTTAGGCCCGCTCTTATTTGTTATCTTTGTTAACGACATTGGTTCCTGTTTTATGCATTCCAATTTTCTTTTATTCGCTGATGATATGAAAATTTTTAAGACAGTTAACAACTTGACTGATGCAAAATTATTGCAAGAAGATCTTCAGCGACTTGACACATACTGTTGCTATAACAACTTGGACCTCAATGCTTCTAAATGTTTCTCCATGAGCTTCACACGTAAGCGTCAAATACTCCATTCTAATTATGTTATCAAGGGCCATATATTGGAGAGGAAAACTGTACTTAGGGATCTGGGCGTGGTGCACGACAGCAAAGTTCTATTTGACAGGCATGTGAATCACATAGTTGACAGGGCTTTTAGAGCACTGGGTTTTATAATTCGTTG